GATGTAATATTTTGTATCCTAAATCTAGAATGAATAGGTAGTGCCCTTTTTGAAATTATGAATCACAATGGAAAAATGTTTTGTTTTGAAATGAATGAACTACCAAATGCCCAATCATCTTTAAAGATATTTTTGATTACCAAATATGATTTTTGTGGCAATATTGGATGGGAATCATATAAACCATGGCCTCATGTATATATTATGTTATGTTTGATGAGGGTAAGATATAGCATAGGATAAAGGGAAGAGAATTATTTATAAATGTTGGATGAAAAATGGGATATTTTCCCACGAGTGGTATTGCACTAGTTTGCTTCTAATTCTGTCGATCAAACATGCCCTACTAGAATCTTGGTTAACTTTTCTATTGTTATGGAAAGCAAATTTGAATTTAATTTCATAACACCTTATCATAAACTAAGGGTTATAGATATAATAGTTCTACATGCACAGGAATAGATCATAGAACAATCACGATATTGAACATACCTCCTTTGAGCCAACCTTCAGGACCCTTTCATTGAGACTGTTTACATCTTTGATGCCAACATTGCCAAGCAATTCAACTAGAGCTCCAGGTCTGCTGACCATTACTTGAAGATTGTCACTAACAATATAAGCTGTGGATCGCTTGACAAATATTCCATCTGTATATTTTTCCATTGAATCGGCACTGAATTCAGAACCCACTACTGAAATCTCTGTGCTCATCAACTCCAAGCATCCACTACACCTTGCGTTCGCATAATTACTCAAAAATCCAGAGCGGTGCCTTTGAATGCATACCTCAGAACATACAAAGTACTTGGGAGGCTTTGTATCATTGACATTCACTTTCAAGCCCCTGCAAAAGGGTTCGAGTGGACTTCTTGGATGAAGCAGCATATCTTTGCAAGCATCGGTCCACAAACTGGTTGTACTGAGATTTTCTATGCTTCCATACAAGTTGTTGATGCAGCCAAGCTCTGCTTGCTGATTGCGGATGAGTCGGACAATGGTGCCTATGGGTAAGGTCAAGAAACTGAAGAGTATGTCGACGAAATCATTACCAGCTTCAGCACAAACTACTCTGTTGTTCTCTTCATCTATTAGAATTCTCAGAGACACTTCAGCAGTTTGGTTCGAAGCCATGGCCTTCTCAACAAATCACAATGGGTTGGTTTTGTTCTGTCAAGGTCCGATCACACAGTAACTATTTAGTTGGTTAACTAAATCTATAATTCAAACAAAATCTTTAAAAAATAAACATATTTTCATTGATTGTCTGAAAATTCTAGATTTTTTTAAACACTTCTTTTTTTTTTTTAGAGTGACTATCAATATTATTAATATGGCAAAGACTATGATACAACCTCTCTTAAAAGATGTATACCATATCTAGCTACCCAACAAAATAACATAATTTCATAATTTTTGAGTCGTAACTAAATACAAAAAAATCATAATCAAATATCTGAAAATAATGATGCAAGTAAACGTACTTATCTCACTTATCTTATGATATGAGAGATGTATAATAGAATTCTCTTATTAACATTATTATATCCTCCACCTAATACTATTGTACTCATAAATAAATATTAGTATATGTAAAAAATGCAATGTATAAAAAGAAATAAAGAAATGTATTTATTGATTGATATATTGATTGTTATACTGTCTATTACAAATGGTTCCTTATATAGATGTAGGTGTAGTGGATGGTGGTAGTGGTGTAGTGGGTTAGGTTTAGTGGAGTAGGTGAGGTGGTAGTGGTGGTAGGTGATGGTAAATTCTAACAGCCCCCCGCAAACTCAAGGAGGATAGAAACTAACCAACTTGAGTTTGAAGAGAGGAACAAAACAAGAAAATACATAAAAAAAAAAAAAAATAAAAGAGGATAAGAGACACTGTATGGTCGTGTCAGACCATTGGTGAAGACACTGGATGGTGGTGTCATAACGTTGTAGAGGACACTGTATGGGGGTGTCATAACCATGTAAGAGTGACACTGTATGGTGGTGTCATAACGGTGTAGAGGAACAGTTTATGGGGTCATGTCGGACCGTTGTAAGCAGACAATGTTGTGACAGTTGTTTGTGACAGTTTACGGAGCTTTGCTGGACCCTTGTAGAAACTAACCGGAATCAATGTCGGACAGTTTACAGAGTCTTGTGCGGACCCTTGTAGAAACTAACCGGAATCAATGTCGGGACAGTTTACAGAGTCTTGTCGGACCCTTGAAAAGTCGCACCCTCAAAAGGTGTGCCAATCTGTCAAAAGGCGTGCCATCAAAAGGCGTGCCAAATTCATCAAAAGGTGTGCCGGACATGATGGCGAGGCACGTGGGCGCCTTGCTTGCGCGCCCGTTTTGTCGTCTGGTGGCAAGAGGCGCGCGATGCGCGTGGCTGCCTCGGCTTTAACCAAGGACGGAGGTTGAGGGCTAAGGCAGACAAAAAAACTTCTGAAAAATTCTCTGAAACAAACTCTTCCTTTGCTGAGAAACTCTGTATACTCTGTAACCAACCCGTCTCTGAAACACTCAGCAACATGGCCTATTCTTCCCGTCCAGCTACCCAGAACATGGCCTCCTCTTCCCGTGGTCTGCTCACTCTTTCCAAACTGAACGAGTCCACAAGAGAAATAACTGGTGCGATGGCCAGTGAACCTCACAAACACCTCTGGTTTTGCTCCATTGAAACTTTCCGATGCGGTCGTGGAGCAAAAAATGGCGGTGGCAAACCTGATATTGAGGCCAATCAGTATACTCTGAATCATGTGTGGAAACCATGACGGCGTCACAAACTTGTTCGCACCGGCTGCAGGAGCAGGACAAATGAGGTGCAACAGTTAAACTCCTAGCTGGCTCTGCTCCAACGCATGTATAAGGATGCGCGAGCAGAAGATAAGTGTGTTAAAGACAGAAATAAGGAGCTGAAGCGGAAGGCCACCGTGATGTTCCGATTTGGAGGTCCTCCATATGCTGCAGTGGAGGAGTATGGGCGGAGTGAACGTTGCTCGTGGACAAGCAAACAGCGGAGGCAACACCGGCAAGGGCCGTCCCAAATCGGACAAGAAGAAGAGACCTACAGCAGGTAAGAGAGAAAAAAATATTCGAACTGGCCGATTTGTTGGTTTGGTTTTTTTTTTTTTCTTTTTTTTTTTTTTTTGTTTTTTGTTTTTTTGGTGTAAAGATGGTGATCGGTGAGCCCGACATAAATAAAATAGTTCGCTTTCTTCCTCTGTGTTGTGTTGTTTTTTTTTTTTTTTTTTTTTTTTTTTAAATTTATTTATATTTTTTTTTTGTTGGGAAAGGTAATAAAGAAAGAGTGGAAATATCAGAAGCGGGGAATCCGGTGAGCGAATAAAGGGATATAATAAAAATAAAAAATATAGACAAAAGGTGTGGATAGAAATAGTGAATAATAAAATAAGAAGAGAAAGTGGACTTCCGTGTTGGTTTTGTATAATAATAGATTAGAATAAAGAGAACTGGGGTGTGGCGTTGAGTGGAGGAAGACACTGGGTGATGAAAGACCAAAAAAAGTAAGCGGATTGAAAAAGTAAATAAAAGAAAGGGAAAAGAGACCGTTTAAAGTGAGAAAAATCAATGTGCATAGCTTGACTGATGGGCCAAAAGTGGGTGAAATATGAAAAAAAATTGGTGGGAGAAGAAAATAATTGAATTGAGGAATGGTACTTCTTTTAAAAGCTTTAAAGGAGTCTCTCACGTTCTACAGTGCACCAAAGCGCACTTTTAACCTTCTCGAGATAGGCCGGATTCCTTCAGTGCCTGTCACATGCAGAACTTAAGCATACACAGAACACAGTTAATTGGTTGTTTGCTCCTCAAAGATACTCGCACAATGCCTCGGAGGAAATGCACGCATATCAATCTAAAACGAAGGCTCAGTCAGTAACAATTCCAATCCAAGAGACCCACACATAATTGTAGTATTTATGAATGACGCATTCCCCAAAGTGAGTTACACTGAGCCGTAGATTTTCTTGCTTCCCAAAAGCACTTCAGACTGAATGAATTCAAGCACTGCTACATCAATGTAAGTATTACACCATCTTTGTCTGAAACTGCATAGCTGATGTGATCAATAACCATAGCTCCGATCCTCATCAAAATCAACATCCGCAAGTCGGGGGCAATCCGTGAATTTAGATTAGAAGAGGCAGAAGAATTTGCCCCCGCATATCAAATCATAACCACATCGACGAAGATCCATAAATTAGCTGCCAAATCAATGATCCCCGAAACGCTCCGAAGCGCTGGAGAGAAGAGGATCAATATCCGTCGTACACAGTACTGGTTGTAGTCCTGTGTAAAGGAGGATCTTGGGGATCGTCGGCGAAGTTGAAATCAGAGGTTCGAAGCCGACGAAGATTGAAGAGAATTGAGCGAAGATGGAGTGGAAGATGCTAATTGGCGAGGTCATGCGAGCAAGAACGAGAGGTCGAGGATGACGGTGGGTGTTCGGGAGAGGAAGGAGCCTGCAGAGTGTGGCGAAAATGGATTGCAGTTGAGGAATTCAATTGTAGGCGTTCGACTCGTGGTGTCGTCGGGTTTACCGAGCTCTCCAGATTTTTCCCAAACTCACAGAGATCCGGGACTCGTACGAGTGTTTGTTTTCGAATAGGACCCCACCACG